GTCATTTATTATTTTTTAGATATATATTGCCCTCAACATATTGACAGTGCATGATAGAATGACAAAAGAAGCAGAATATATATGTCTATAGTTCATGAATACTATCATTGCAATTTATCTAGAAAAAAAAGGATCCCATCCCCTTCTTTCCTCTAAAATACACCATTTTTTAAGCCATTATAAGTTTTTTTGGTATTGCTCACGTATTCAGCCACCCAGGAAATTAGTCTCACTGAGTAGAGAACCATAATAATGATTTATGATTTTTAGATGAAGATACAGTACTTAGGTGCATGGTTGGGAGAAGGAAAATGTAAATGCTCTGCAAGATAACTAGAGTATAGGTTGGGCTTAGCCAAGGGAAAGGAGAGGCTCCGGCAACCTGACAAGGGACCCGTGTCTGAAAAGAAAAAATAGGCAGTGAAAAATCACCTTCTCTGGGAAATGCTGATTCATTTTTAGGAAGAGTGATGCCTGCCATTGGATATAGAGTTATGTCCAGCCCCATGTGGTAATTGCATTCTGCGGCTCCCTAACCTTTAGAAAGGTCTGCTATGAGAAAGCACCTGCTGTTAGGGTAAAACTAGGGGAATGAAAGAACAGTGATGAAAGCTAGGAAAGGACAACACTTACATGAGCAGGTTAAGACAGAAAAGCAATCAACTGTATTGACTGACTCAGCAATAAATACGCTAGAAACCACTTTTCCTACATAGAAAAGAGGATGTGACCACTGGGGTGGAGGGTGGGTATTGGGCACTACATAAAATCTGTAAAAAATACTAATGCTTCCTGATTTGCCCCCTTGCCACAAGAAGCTGATACATGACTGAAACAATGTGTCCCAAGCCTGGGAAAGACATGGCAGAGGGTTAATTTGGGGTTTTTTTATGGCTACTATTAATCGATGTTTCTTAACAATTTAATGGGCTTCTAAGAAAAAAAATCCAATATGTAACAGTAAAGAAAGAAAGAGAGAAATTCCTTTTCTAATAAATATTTAAGGCACTTTGAGGCAGGAAAGACTTTGAGAGGCATCAGGACATTTCTGAAAGTTTCAGTATTAAAACAGTTCAGTCAAATTTCTATTCATTAAATTCACCTGATTTTTACTTAACACATACTATGTGCCAGGGCACATAAGACAAGTTTCATTCTTGCCATTATGGGGTTTATTTATATTCTGAAGGAGCAGAAAAAAAAAATGAGAATGCCTGATGCTCCATGTTTAAGTTACTATGACTGCATAAACAATTACCCCAAAACTGAGTGGCTTACAACAATAACAAACTTTATTTTGTGCATCAACCTGACATCTGCTGACGACTGAGGTGGTACAAAGGTTAGGAGTTGAAATCATCTGAAGGCTGACATGTCTGATGTTTGAAGGTGGTTGTCAACTGAAACTTTTCTGGAACCGTTGGCTGGAAAAATTATTTGTGGCCTCTCAATATGTCCTGGGATTCCTCAGATCATGGAGTATGTGTTCAGCCCCAGGAGTGAGAGAGAGAAAAAATATCTTTATGTCCCCTTTGGACTTAGTCTTGGAAGTCACACAGCATTATCCCTTTCAGCACATTCTATTCATTGGAACAGTTAAAATGTCCACCAATATTTAGGGAGAGGGGAAATAGACTCTACCACTTGATGAGAGGTTACAAGTTTCTAAAAGAGATTTTGTGAAGTGAAATATTGCTGTAGTCATTTTGGAAAATACGATCTACTACATTTTGTTATTTTAGTTTGAATGTGGTATTAATGAAAATATTTACTCATTTAAAATCTTTCATTGAACTTGTGTCTCTTTGGAGATATTACTAATATTACTATTATTACTATTATTATTAACATTATCGGTTTGTGAACTTCCAAATCTCTTGACCTTTAACTTTTTCTCTGCTATAGCCTAATAATAATTTGAGTGTTACATTCAAAAGCTGGTGTTATAGAAAGTCTAGTGAAAGGGACTATATTAAATTTCTGGGTTTGGAATATTTAATTTGTAATGTTCATTTGAAAGATAGTAGTACTCTACCAAGTGGCTTTAAGGGTGAGCTTATAATTCACATTGGCTTGAATAGGAAAAAAAGAAATCACAAATAGACTGTCTCCATTAGCCCCAGCTAATCCCCATGAGAATTATCATTTTACTTTATTTTATAATCATTTAACCTAAACAACTTGTTGACTTTGTGTATTGTAATAAAGCCTTATCATAAATAACCATTCTATGCCACATAAAATTGTTCAAAGATGTTAATGGGTTATGTTCTATGGTAGAAATTACTTCTCCTTTAAAACATGTTAGAGACAGGGGCACCTGGGTGGCTCAGTCATTAAGCATCTGCCTTTGGCTTAGGTCGTGATCCCAGGGTCCTGGGATCGAGCCCCGCATCGGGCTCCCTGCTCTGCGGGAAGCCTGCTTCTCTCTCTCCCACTCCCCCTGCTTGTGTTCCCTCTCTCCTGTGTCTTTCTTTTTGTCAAATAAATAAATAAAATCTTTTAAAAAAATGTTAGAGACAGTGCCAGGTGAAGGACACAATACAAAAAAACAATTGAGAAAAATTATGAAAAAATTGTATTAGAAAAATACGAAGTATATGCCACTTTGTCCAGATTAAAGGTAGGGTACATTAAAGTAGAAAGGGTCATTTCTGAAATGATTACATTCGTCAAAATGACATCATCAAGCCTCACTTCATATTTTTAAAGGTGAGTAGGCAAAGGACTATGTCTGCTTTTTGAAAATGTCAAATAAAATGCTACTTTTCCAAAGTGTGAAGTAATGTTAATCTAAACATTACAAGCACAAATTATATTAAGGAAACAAATTTAATGCATGCTATTAATCAGAAATTATATATTCTTACAGTGTTAGGATGGACTCAAAGGAAGTTTGAAGAAGATGAAAAATCCATATTTTTTATTCTCAGATACATTAACCATAACCTAAGGGCACTGAAGGAGAAAGAGTGGTAAAAGGTTTAGAAATTAAGATAAGGAGAAAAGAAAATAATCTTACTTAAACTGAAATAATAGAACTAAATGAACACTTAATTCGAGAGAACACAACCTGATATACTGGATTATGAGTAGGTGACTAAGGTACCACTAATTATATATCACTTATCCCATTTCCCAGTACTTCAGTTTCTTTGTTGTAATCATAATGTTTGCCATGGACTTCTTGCCAAGTCTTCTCTGAATAAATAATAGATTGTTTTAATATTTTTACATGAATATTGAGGCTGTTTCCAATCCTTGTAGATATCCTTATGCATAAGTCTTTTATGTATGTGCTAATGTATTATTAGTAGGATAAATTCTTAAGGGTGGAATTGCCACATCAGAGGGTATGTCTATTTTTAATTTTAAAAGATATTCAACACATAGTTTATATTCTATGATACTGTCAGATGGCTGTTCATGTTCTTCTAATAAAATCAGTCAAGATAAATCCATATTTCCAACTTCTTATGTTGTAAACCAAAAAAGGGTGGATTTTTTTTATTATTATTATTACTCCTGAATCCCTGAAAACTAGAAGAGACCTAGCATAGGCACACTTCAGCTCACTAAAGGGATGGCACCGAGCAGAGCGGAATTAGGGAACCAAGAGATTAAAAGTGTTGATCAAATCTGTATGCATTGAGTACATGTCATTTTCATATGACATACTCTTCTTAAAAATTGTAATGGCCTTTGTAAAAATGATGTATATAATTAATTATACAGTATAGTTTAAATATAGTACTTTATTCTCATTTATTAGGCAATTGAAGTAAATACATAAACTACTATCAAACAGAAATCCATAGTGGTTTTTTTTCTTTTCTTTTTTTCATTTTCTTTAATTGAAATTTTAAATTTGTATTTTTTTATTTTATTTTACTTTATTATGTTATGTTAGGGGTTTTTAACATCAAAAGCACATCAGAGACTTCTGGTTTCCCGTCTGACATGTAAAGAGTTCAAAAATCATCAGTCCTCGGGGCACCTGGGTGGCTCAGTCGTTAAGCATCTGCCTTTGGCTCCGGTCATGATCCCAGGGTCCTGGGACCCAGCCCCTCATCGATCGCCTCATCGAGCCCTGCATCGAACCCCGCAACGGGCTCCCTGCTCAGCGGGAAGCCTGCTTCTCCCTCTCCCACTCCCCCTGCTTGTGTTCCCTCTCTCGCTGTGTCTCTCTCTCTGTCAAATAAATAAGGAAAATCTTAAAAAAAAAAATAAAAATCACTCCTCTCCTCACAAGAAGAAAAATGCTGAACAAATTGAAAAACAACAATTCTTAGATCCATCAAAGAATTGTTTTCATAGGGAAAACTGCTGTCCTGAAAAAAAGAGATAGGCCAATACAGCAAGTATATTTACCAGAACTAAACTTAGATTTTTTTGCCAAACAAAACAGAACAAAAGAAGAAATATATAATTGAGTGAATTGTTCTTTTTTGTATTTTTCTTTTTTTTTTAAGATTTTATTTATGTTGGGGGGGCACAAGCAGGGGGGATCAGCAGAGGGAGAGGGAGAAGCAGGCTCCCTGAGCAGGGAGCCTGACATGGCACTCCATCCCAGGACCCTGGGATCATGACCTGAGCCCAAGGCAGACATTTAACTGACTGAACCACCCAGATGCCCCTCTTTTTCATATTTTACTAAAGGAAAAACAAACAAATAAATGCACAACTACTACTCTCTAGAGCTGAGGACCAAGAAGAAGGGAGGTTTGGAAAAGAAAGTATCGTGTACCCAGAAAACCTATCTTCTTCATAACTTTCCATTTCACTGGTTGTAGGAGGGTCCTGGAAACTTGAGAGAGGAAGAAATTACTGTAGCTAAAATAGATGTTGTTAAAGAAAAATCTGTGTCCATGTGTCAGGTTGTACAATTTTTGCCACATCAAATTTTTTAGATTTCTTACAACTGATAATAGTGCGGTTTGCCCCAAACTTACATTTTCCTGAAACATAAGATTAGTGGGTTTAAAAGTAAACATTTTATAGTGCTAGCTTTGACAGCACATGTATTAAAATTGGAATGATGCAGAGAAGATTAGTATGGCCTCTGTGCAAGGATGATACACAAATTTGTAAAAGCGTAACTTTATATTGTTTTTTCCTATGGTTTTCATTTGAAGTATCAATCTGATATTAACTAACAAATTTTGACTCTCAGATGACTATCATAGGTGGACATATGGATAAGGTGACTCAGGTTTAAAAATACAAGGGACAGGGGCACCTGGCCTGCGTGGCTCAGTCCTTAAGCGTCTGCCTTCGGCTCAGGTCATGATCCCAGGGTCCTGGGATCGAGCCCCGCATCGGGCTCCCTGCTCTGTGGGGAGCCTGCTTCTCCCTCTCCCACTCCCCCTGCTGTGTTCCCTCTCCCGCTGTGTCTCTCTCTGTGAAATAAATAAATAAAATCTTTAAAAAAAAACACACACACAAAGGACATGCAGAAAATGGCAAAGCATTCTCTGTGAAATCAACATTTATAAAGTATTCAGGGACATTTTCTAAATGGTTTCTTATATCTGTGGCTGTAACAGCTTCTGGTCAGTGAAAAGTAAACCATAAGAGAGAGAGAGAGAGAAAACAAGGCAGTTTCCATTGGTGGCAGCAGCTATACTATGCCCAAGATGTGTCATCTTTACTGACACTTAAAAGGCATATATAAAAACACTTAATGTGTTTGGGTTACTGTTGATGACAGATTGTCACCAAGTCTATCTTCTGTGTAATTTCTTCTCCAAATTCATCTTAAAAGACAGATGCTTCAGGTATTTTGGGACTTACAAATTTAATGGGTTACTATTTTTCTGTTGCAACTGGTGTTTCCAGAATGATAGTGTAAGTGTTCAGAATAGCTAATGTGATGGAAATCTCTGAAATTGTAATTATGTGCTTTGATTCTGTTTATAAAGAAATGAATTTGGTGGCATCAGTTTCTTAAAATAGACAAAATGTCACAGGACTTTAGTGCATACTTGTTTGGAAATACAGATAGGAGTTAGAGTTGCTCATAACTGGATAGCTTCATGAGTAGGCACTGATGGGAAATTAGCAATATTTTCCTCACATTTACCTTACCCATATGTGATTAATCTTGAAGCCACAGGGACTAGTGATATGGAAGATTTAGGGACATAGGTATTTCTTAAAATGAGCCCTTGCATTGGCATCCTATTTTGCCACTTCGGATCCTCTTAGTTTAAACTTATCTTATTTCTTGATTATCATGCTTTATTTAAATTTCCAGTATTTTCAAATGTAGTTTGTCCTTTCAACACTCTATCTCTACCCATGTGACAAAGATTTAATCATCTCTTGAGTCACTGCTTTGATATCATTACCACTTAGCCCAGAAATGTTTTCTTTCCACGAGCTCTGGGTTAAGTACCCTTCTTTTGGTGCCTTTCCTTGTCTATCTCTGTGAGGTGTGTTCAAAACTATCTCTATTACCATTTTGTTATTACTATACTGTATAAATTATTAGTTTTACTATTTGAAAGGTATGAGAAAGTGACTTTTTATCATTGAGAATTTATCATTAGAGATATTTATCATTTATCATTAGAGAAAAAATTTACCTCCTGTGAGGGTTATTGCTTTTTTTTTTCTCTATGAGTTTCAAACTATTTGGTTGTATCCATTTTTTATAGCTGCCATAATAAAGTACCACAAAGTTAAAACAACACAGATTTATTATTTTACAGTTCTGTAGGTCAGAAGTTAGAAACAGGTCTCATTGGGCTAAAGTCAGTATGTTAGTAGGCTGTGCCCTTTCTGGAGATTCTGGGAGAAAATCTGTTTCCTTGTCTGTGTCCTTGTTCCGTTCCTGTGTTTTTGGTGTCAGATCCAGAAAAACCATTGCCAAGTCGATTGTCAAGATTTTCTTCTAAGGTTCCTTCTAGGAATTTTATAGTTCCAAGTCTTATATTAAATCTTTAATCCATTTTGAGTCTATTTTGGGATATAGTGTAAAATGGGGGTCCAATCTCTTTTTTTTCAATATGGATATCCAGTTTTTCCAACTCTTTTTGTTGAGGACACTGTCTTTTCTTCATTGGGTATTCCTAACACCCTTGTCAAAGATCAGTTCACTGTTTTTGTATGGACTTATTTCTGGGCTCTCTGGAAAGTAGCTGGCCTGTTTATGTTTAGGTGATAAAACATAAATGGGGAGTAAGTGCATAATTTCTGGCTAGTTACTGTCTTTCAAAAAAGAGATTTGTTGGTAAAGGCATGTAATGTAAATGTAAAATAAAGATTTCACTTTTATATAGTAATTTTACCTTATAAAGTACTTTCAGGGTATCGTAATCTTCACAACTACTGACACTACAATCCCCACTTAAAAATGAGAAAACTGTGACTCTGAGACTAGCTAATGTCCCAGAATTATGGCTTCCTTAAAGATCATTCTAGGTCTCATTTTTAATACTATAGACTCTTTAAGAAGATTTTTTTCCCTCTTTTTATATTACTTGGTTGTAAATGTCATGTAAAAGTGATATCTGGGGGCTTAGTCTTAACTGCCCCTTGCCCGTGATAGTGACAAATGCTCTGTGGTTGTCTTATTTTAGGATGTTTTGCAGAAGTCACTTCTGCAAAGGCTGCAAAACAGAATGCTAGTGTGGTTCTGTCTAAGCTGAAAAGCAGGATGTTCGTACCGTTTTATCTTAGCTGTCCTGACTCCATATCTCCTTGTTGGGGACCCTGGCCCTGACTAACTGTCCAACTAACTCCTAACAAATCAACTGATACAGGGGGAAAATGTGTATTTAAGGAGAAATTATTTTTATTGTCCATAAAAGTAGGATGAGAGGAAAGAACAGATGAATGGGAATTGACAAAGAGAAATGACCCTGACTACAACCTCAACTTTCTTCTTAATATTATTCAACTATTTATAACTAGTTACTCCTAAAATTAATATTGATAAATGTAATAATGTTTTAATTACATTTTCATTGCTGGATTTCATTAAAGATGAAACATGAGAATCCTTACTGATTATTAAATTAACTTAGCAGTTACCCTTGGCTTCCATATATAAGAAAAATACCTCTATCGATAGTAATAAAGAATCACTTAATATTTGTACCACATCAAGGGTCCAAAAACAAATATGTAGGGTTCTTTTGGGGTGATATTCAGACTATGAAGACAGTACCATTTGATACTGGTTGAATGGAACCCTGAGTTAGATCACTTACAGATGCGCCCTTATTTGTGGGAAATAACAGTTATCGTTGTGGAAATGATAACTCAATTTTAAAAAATAACTTTCAATGACTGAAAATGACATAATTCTCCAGAGAACACCGAAGAAAGTCATTCAACGCGACCACCTGTGGAGTTAATGCTCAAGATGTATTTGTCATCCTCCATTTAGCTCCCTTCATGTAAATGCTACAGAGAATTTTTTAAAAGGATGGCATAAAGGCATATCAAAATCAAGTTACCAACAAAATTAATAATACATTGACTTAAATTGTGATCAACAATAAAATGTCTTCAAGGAGGCAATCAGCTCACTCAGCAGGAGTGTATCATGGGCTGCAAGCAGATTTGGGATTCAAGCTGCACTGTAATCGCACATCTGAACATCAGAGGAGCTGTTTTCTGTGTCATCAAATAGGCTAGATTATTCAAGAAATGGGTTGTTTACTAATGATTTGCACTGTCCCTAAGTTACCAAAATCATTCATTTTACACTCAGGCATTAAAGTAAAATGCTACTATGCTATTTCATTATACTTTATAAAGGAAGTCAAAAAGGTGTCTGCTAAAGGAAGTCAAAAAGGTGTCTGCATTTGCACATTATTTTTTTTATTATTTTATGTTAATCACCATATATTACATCATTAGTTTTTGATGTAGTGTTCCATGATTCATTGTTTGCGTATAACAGGCAATGCACATTATTTTTGATATAATAAAGTGAACTCTTGACATAAACAAATCTGCATTTTTTTCAACCAAAAATAAATTGACATTTAAAAATCTCTTCAAACCCTTGAGACCTAAGAATGCTTAGATAACAAGACACACCTGATTCTAAGGTTTCCATTAGGAGACCAGAAGTATAATGTGTCTAAAGTGAATTTTTATAACCTAGCTATGATGGTTAATTTTATGTGCTAATTTATCTGGGCTAGGAGACACCCAGATATCTGCTAAAACATTATTTCTGGATGTGTTCTTAAAGAGTGTCTGAAAGAGATTAGCATTTGATTCAGTAGACTGAGTGACGAGATTTGTTCTCACCAATGTGGGCCAGCAGTATCTAACCCAATGAGAACCTGAAAAGAACAAAAAGGCTAAGGAAGGGTAAATTCTCTCTCTCTCTTCTTGAGTTGGATGTCCACCTTTTTCTGCCCTGATAGTGGAGCTCCTGGTTCTCAGGCCACAGGCTCAGACTGAATTATACCACCAGCGTTCTTGGTTCTCTAGCTTACAGATCATAGACTGTGGGATTTCTCAGCCTCCATAACCATGTCAGCCAATTCCTATAATAAATCTCCTCATATATCCTTCTGGTTCTGTTTCTCTGGACAACCCTAATACAGATTTTGGTACTGAGAGTGGGGTTTCTGTCTTCGTAAATTTGAACTGCTATAACAAAAATGACACAGTTGGGAAACTTATAAACAATAGAAAACAATAGAAATTTATTTTCTCATAGTCTGGACACTGGGAAGTCCAAAGTTGGGGTGCCAGCATAGCTGGGTGAGGGCCCTTTTCCTCGTTGATAGTTGGCATATTTTTGCTGTGTCCTCACATTGTGGAATGGGCAAGGGATCTCTATGAGGTCCTTTTACAAGAACACTAACTTCACTCATGAGGACTCTACCCTCATGTGCTAAGTACCTACCTCTCAAAAGCTCTACCTTCTAATACTATCTTATCAGGCATTAAGATTTTAACATATGGGGGCGCCTGGGTGGCTCAGTTGGTTAAGCAACTGCCTTCGGCTCGGGTCATGATCCCGGAGTCCTGGGATCGAGTCCCACCTCAGGCTCCCGGCTCAGCGGGGAGCCTGCTTCTCCCTCTGACCTTCTCCCCTCTCATACTGTTTCTCTCTCTCTCTCTCTCAAATAAATAA